CATCAGGGCCCACTCGCGCTTGGCCACCGACGCGCTTCGAGCTTGCGGATCTCCTCGACCAGCTTGGCCTGGCGGCGCTCGTGCGCGAGCGGCGCGAGCGTGGGTCGCCCGCCGACACGTCCGAGAGCGCCCCGTCTGAATCGTCGCCGTGGTCCGACTCGTCGTCGAAGAGGGCGCGGCGCACGTCTTCCATGGCCCGGTCGACGTCCTCGTCGGCGACGGGCTTGGGGTGGAAGCGCACAGACTTTTTGGGCTTGTTCTTGTCGGCCTTTCGCGCCGGTGGCGCAAAAAAAGTCCTTGTAGAAGACGTCGTTGGCGTTGAACTCGGTGTCCTCCTCCAGGGCGTCGTCCATGTCCTCGTCCTCGCTCTCGCCTTCGGGTGCGTAGAGGTCCATGTTGCCGAACGTCGGGCCGTCCTCTTCGTCGTCGTCGTCGTCGTCGTCGTCGTCTTCCTCTTCGTCGCCGTCTTGCTTGTCCTCGCCGTCCATGTCGACGTCCTTTGCTTTTGCCTGCTTCGTGTTTTTGCTCGACGCAGCCAGAGGGTCGGCTGCCCAGTCAATCTCGTCCTCGTCCTCGTCGCCGGCGTCCGTGTTGGGGTCACCCCTGGCGTCCTGGTCTTCGAACCACTGCGTCTGCTTGTTGAAGTCGTCTATCGAGAAGAACCCGTCGTTGAGGCCGTTGGGGTCCTCGACGTAATCATCCGGTCCATCAGACCCGTCCTCCTCCCCGTCGTCTTCGTCCTCCCCCTCTTCGTCATCCAGCAGCTCCTCGTCGTCCTCCTCATCTTCAAGAGCTTCCAGGTCGTCGTCCTCAAGTAGGTCGGCAGCGGAGTCCGGGTCGCGTTCAGCATCGTCAACCTCGTCTCCGGAGCTGAGCTCGTCTTCGTCGCTTCCATCGAGTTCGTCAGAGGCACCATCCGAGTCGACCTCGAGATCTTCATCGTCTTCCGAGCCGACGAGCCCAGACGCCCCGGCGTCAGCGCCCTCTACCACAATCTCGTTGCGCTCCTCGAGCTCCTTGAGCGCCTCCTCGGGAATGGCGCAGCGCGTTCTGGATTGATCCTCCTCGTCTGCTGCCAACACCTGGCCCGGTC